GCTTATCTCACCACTTGTTATCAATTCGTTCCTCCTTATTCAGTGACCCATTTTCTATCTCTTCCACTTGAACAAATATCACCACCTACACCGATTGTATATTTTGCATATTGACTGAGCAACTTTTTAGCGCAATTATCTGTCACTTTACTCAGTATAAATAAGACTGTACAGCTTTATAATGAAGTCGTTGAAAAGAAATATTTCTTCGCTGATACATGCTTTGTTCTTGTTAATGAGTAATGGATTGGGCCGTAGAGTTCATCCCATCAGTTAACCGGTCAGCTTAACAACAATAAATGAACTATTTTGAATAATATAAAAAAGCCTTTTTGTATTCAGTGAGGTGACGCATACACTAAGTCATAGTAACTCTAACTCTGTAGAACCCTTATCGATCTTCATTCCATGCAGGTTTCCAACACATTGTTTTCTAATCTTGTATTAATGATATGTGGTGGCTTACAGTGGAATCTAACCACACGCTTCTCATCCTATACAGAATGTATCAGCTGGATGTACCTGATTACTAGCTAGTGATGTAGTCCTCACTAAGAATCGAACCTGATATCGATCGTTTCAGACTTTAGAACATCATCCACTAGGCCATCGACTCACGAATGCCACTTCATTGTGCGGCAGGCATATTTTCTTTACTGATGTTTGCATTATCTTGTCGTTGATTGGATCTATATGATCAGTCTCTGTTTGTCAATAAGCCCGTGTGTAGATGCCTCAACATTTTCTGTGTTTGAATTATACTTTAACGATGATAGGGGCTAGTAGTGGAATCCAGGACGCCCGTTTCGTCCTATTTAGGACTTGTCAGCTGGATCTACCTGCTATCGTGACTCGATGACCTAGTGGATAACGTCCTAGAGTTTGAGGCGATATGTATGAGGTTCAAGTCTCAGTGGGAACAACAGTGATCAATAGGAGGCAGGTGCGTCCGGCTGATGAGTCCCAGATAGAAGGAAACGTGCATTCTAAATTCCGTTGCTACCCACTGTCCATCAATAATATAGAATTCAAACACAGGCAGCATCCAGACATCTTTATAGAGTTCCATCAACTATGGGGTAATCCAAGAGAAATCATAGGTTTGCATTATTGGCTCACTTAAAATGAAAATTAGTAAACTGGTCACGGTTTCTTACTTCTCATAAATAGTATAACCTTGTCTTTCATCTCTAGAGTTCACCTACATGGTTGTCTGGAAACAAGCGACTAAGCAGTGGGTTAAGTATATGATAAGAAAAGTGAGTTGTACTCTTAGTTAAGATATGAGATCAAAGCGTTACTAGTTTCATCCAGAAAAGTGAGTAACCAAGGCAGTTTTTTAAGAAGACGAAAAAGGAACCAGCTTGAAAAATTATCCACAAAACATGATAGTTATGCTTTCGGCCACAAAAAACACAAATGGCATATCAAGTAATTATGAAGCTGGAACATAACCCTACCATTTCACTCAATCACAATTGGTACTAACCAAATAATCTTAGACGTGGACATTAGGTAATACAATTTCAGAATGAGTATCATTGTTTCAATACCTTTTAATCGTAGTCTTGTCTCTTCAACAAGTTATACCCAAGCTTGGTGACTAGGTGAACAAAAATCCGGACAGCTTCCAGTTTTAGACTGATATTATAATACAGATGACCAATGCTATGAAGTCGTTTCTGGCTTAAAAAGAAGGATGAAATGCTTGTGTAATGAAACTCTTTATTTACCAATCTATCCAAGATGCAGTTCTGGCCAGATAATTTTTCCGGGTACTAAGTTTTTACAGTTTGTGATAGTAGTACAGTAGCAGGATTCTGCAGAGATTTAAAATAAGCATTTTTACGGTGGATATTATCACTGCAAACTAGGCTAAAACTATGTACACTTTTATTTCTGCCTAATTTGTCTATTATACCAAAAAAAGTAAGGTGGAAATGAACCAGGATTTATGCAGACAGGTGGCATCATCAGCCATCACATGATATGTATGACTCAAATTATTTAAATGGAACCAATCAGCAGGAAGCCCAAGGTTTTGTATTTTTCGGTAGTCCTCAGCAAGGCGTTTCTACAACCCAGAAGGAACTAATGTCATTTTAGAAATCGAAACCTGTGTCACCAAGTGCTGAATTTGGAAACGCTACCACTGAAATGGTGGTGCAGTGGATACCAAATGAGAAACTTGGATGACAGTTGCACTACATCGTGAAACGACTGGAATAGGAAGAGTGTGGACTTTCCGGTTCCAATTTAATGGATAAACGGTTACTGCGTACGCCTTCAAACGTGCGGATTCTGAGTTTGATCTCAGGTGGGCGGGGTCATGGGTGCTTGCTCCTCTGAGGCATTCCATACTAGGACGAAACAGTTTTCCAGTTCTCTCAAGTTTTCAATGGTTTTCTAACTGATGTTAATTCGCGATGAATACTGCCTCAAAATTAAAATCCCGACTAACCTCAAAAACCATCGAGTTGTTTAAAATCATTCTAATTGATAAATGACATATGACCTTGACACTATAAATCTGGTTTGAATGTTTAGTAATTCCTAAATATATGACAGTCTACTTGAATAAGCTTAATTTCATCATAAAAGTTATTGACACCATCACTGAATTATTTACATGACAAGTTATCTTATGTAAGATTGTACAAAGTTTACTAATTTACAACTGTACGGATATTAGTGATACTACAGGGTCAATCTTCTAAATCCTGTTGTCCGAGTTTCGCAGAATGAATACGTCGAAAAGGGTAGTATTAGTTTAGGCATTCATTTCACAGTGTCTCGTAGAAGGTGTTCAGGATAAAGTCATCTAAATAAAAAATCCTTCAGTAAATTTATTTTAAGATATTACGTTTAACCAGCCATGAAGAAAAATTCCTGCCATATGGTTTTAAATCATGTGCTTTTGGTAGTCGAAATGCAGAAACTAATCTGAACTAATCTACCTCAACTTTATCGACTTTGAAAAGGCCTTCCACAGCGTCGATCAAGAAGTAATTTGCCAGGCAGCTGCTTCAACACTACAATTTCACTGCCACAAATCCATGTCAACCTCATTCAACAACTATATGACGACGCCACGTGCAAAGTCATTCACAATGGAAAGCTCAGTGATACCTTCGAACTGAAGACACAAGTAAGACAAGGCCGCCATCTATTATCCCCGATGATCTTCCTGATTATGGTGGACTGGATCATGCAGCAAACCCAGAGGAGCATGAAGATAGGCGTATGCAGTTTGACCAATGAAAAGAACTAAGGAGATTTTAATTTCACCAACGATTTATGTGTAATGTCTTATGTCGCTCAAACTCGAAGATCTACAGGAAAGGACTAACAAGATGACAGAAGAGTCAGTGAAAACGGGACTTCAAGTGAACGTAGAGAGGAGGAAGACGGAGGTAGAGGTGATGAAGAAACCCAACCAACACCACCACCAATAACAACGAGAGACACCAATCACCATTAACGGGAGCTACCTAAAGGAAGTAGTCTCTCACACCTACCCAGTCAGGCAAGGTAGCCTCATCTCAACTACAGGCGCTGGCACAGGCACAGGCATACACGAGGACGTCAAAAACAGTCAGGATCGGAAAGACAGCAAGACAGGCTTTCACTAATCTCAAACCAATCAGTGTGGAGATCTACTGCACTCCACTCCACTCCACTCCACTCAGCATGAAGCATGAAGCATGCACAAGATCCGGATTTTCAACACGAATCCAGTCAAGTCAGTGGTGCTATGTGATGGTTGAGAGACTCGGCGCATCACGAAAAGCACTTCCAACAAACTACAGACATTCATCAACCTCTGATGTCTACGCTCCATACTGAAACTCAGATGGCCAGAACAATAAGAATAAGTAACAAGGAACTCTGAGAACGAACCATCCAAGAACATGTCACCCAACAAATATTCAGAAGAAGAGAGTGGCAGTGGAGATGGATTGGATTGGGCATACACTGAGAAGGCCGATTGAGGACATCATGCGTCAGGCCAGGCCAGGCCAGGCCAGACCGTTGAGTGGAACCCAGATGGGAAATGACGAGTTGGGTGTCTGAGGAGAGGATGACATGGAGGAGATGATGTGAGGAAGAAATGAAAACTTGTTGGGTGTGATGGAGCGAGGTTGAGAGGACTGCGTAGAAGAGAGTGGAATGTAGGCGTGTTACTGAAGCTGTACGTTCCACTAGGATCCCAAGGGAAAAATAATAAATTTACGTAGTCGTATAGAGGGTTAATTACAACCGGAATAATTTACAGGTAACATTTATGATTACTGTAAAGAATGTTGAAAGTTCACTTATTTGGTAAGGTAGCAGTTCTAAAAATAATTCTTAATTTTCAATACGCATGAGGATAATGTGCAGCACTACTTCCTATCGATTGTTCCCAGATAGACCAGAAAAAAGAAAAAGAGATGAAATCAACTCATAACCTAATACAGAATTATATTCGTTCAAGTTGTAACACCAATCAATATCGAATGAATCGGCTATCTGGTCAAATCTGTACGTATTCGAAACAGATTCGAGTATATTGAGATGTTAACATCAAAATATTTTTCACCACGTGATGATTTATTTCTTTTTAAGTTGTTATTCATCGAAGACTGACATCAGTTGGAGGAACAAAGGAAACCTGGGAGCACTGGACAGCTGTTTCATCCTAGTATGGGACTCCTCAGCAGTGCGCAACCACGACCCCACCAGCAGGGATCGAAACCGCGACCTTCAGGTTCCGCGACCAGCGCGTTACCATTGAGCTAGTTACTGGGTCACAATCCAATGCTCCATATTTCCATATTTGCTGAGGAGTCCCATACTAGTCGGACGAAACAGCTGTCCAGTGCTCCCAGGTTTCCTTTGTTCCTCCAACTGATGTCAGTCTACGATGAATAACAACTTGAAATATTTCCAAATCTCCACAACCCCCTCAAGATTTATTTCTTGTTTTTTTTTCTAAAAACATTTTTTTTACAATTTAGTATGATGAAAATTACAACCAAGATTATGTTCAATATGCAGATAAAATCAGAAGGGCTATTAATGTGAATGATCCTGCAGCACAATTTGCATGGCAATATGTAAGTTTATTTTTCATTCAGTATCCTTGATAAACGCTGTCTCCGAACCAGATCGATAAAAAAACATCTCATTAACAGTTAGTTAATTTAGAAAAATATCTTAAAACACTATGTTGACCATTTGCTTTTGCGTTTGTTCATATGTAAGATAGTTCAGTTATATGTTAGGGTACCAATGTGAAGAAGTTTTACATGACGTGGTACGGTGGTGTGGATGTTTATGCATCTAATGTGTGTGCATCGACTATTACAGGTAGAGCTAAGTTACGCAACGATGGTGAACCTCCAGGTGGCCCTACTCGTTACTAACTAAGCACCATTAATCCCAGTCGACGCGATCCATATACATAAGATCAGTGGCATGAGTCTCCAAAACACTGACAGTTTATCGAACATTCTGGATTCCACTCAGTGCGCTGAGAGCAGTACAATCGAAATGTAAGGTGAACCCAGAGACTTAATTCTGGTATGTTTGTTGTTGAAATTGACGTTTGAAACCGGATGTGGTTTACCTTACGAAGGTGAGCGATATTCAATTAAAAATGATAAGTGTCGTTTGCCCTAATCTTGACTGTTTATCTACAGCCTGAAAGACGCCACGATTAAGAATCCGTCGGCATTACCGGTTCATGAAGTAGGCCGGTTTAAAGGACTTCTCTTCGAGAAGGTGAGTTATATCCGTTCTGCATGATTTTAAAGGAATCATCGAGACGCATCCCTTGCACGTATGCCACCGGTAGAGGAGTATGGTCAACCAGTCTGTCATTCGGTGAGTGTGGATATGCTGAAGCCTGACAGATGGGAGTGTTTTAGGATTATACTGATCAGTTTTCAGGGTCTTTTAACACAGTTCTGTGGCAGCAGTATTCTTTTTCATGTTGATTCGTAGTGTAGAAGTTTCCTGCACAGTGAACTAATTATAAGATCCAGTATTTCTTGGTCGACGGATTCAGTAAAGTAGAAAGCAACACTAGTCATGATGAATGAGTATTGAATACTTATTTCTTATGATTCAATGTCTATGAATAAACAACAAGTCATGTAATGCCAGTTAAAACTTATGTACGCTACGAAAACTTTAGTGATTATTGTGAAAATATAGTTTGATACCAAGTGATGATTGAAAGTGAAATAGAAATATGTGTGATAACATGATTCGAATCAGCAACCTCCAGGTCACCTTAGCTACAAGACCCACCTGCCGAAACCCAGTAATACAAGTCTGCTAAGCTACAGCTATCTCATATATTCATAGTGGTAAAGCTTAGCATAAATAGAGGGGAAGTGAGATATGGGGAATTGTTTGTGTGTGAATGCACAAGAAAATGAACAGAGATATTTGAGTAAAAATAATACGTTAAGTCCTACAAACGTAAGGGGATAAACCTAGGATTTCAAAGAAATTAATGAAGGACTGTATACAAGTGGGTGATATAATACATTTCTTCAGAACTTGTCGATTTCAAAACTGGTCAGGATAAGAGTAATAGCTGCATTACATTTTGTACTGATAGTTCGGGGTGTTGAAGTCAGATGGTTTTAGCTTCTGCTGTTTAAAGCAATCGACATCTGGTAGCGTCTGTTATACTGACGGAGACACAATCAATGATAGAAAATGATTGATTTATGTCAGCTTTATGATCCTTTCGAACCAAGCAATCTATTCCCATTTTTTTACTACACCATTATTTACCCACCCTTTGAAGTGTTCACCAGTAAAGAAAGATAAATTCATGGGAAGTAAGTCAACATAACTGACTCTACAGGAGCAGTTTGCATCGATAAACCTAACAAGAAGTAACCATCCTAGGTACTCGGTTTTTCAGTCTTGGTAGCACAGCTGAGCGTGTAGAAAACATCAACTCCAATTCACCACCTCTAAGAGTTCCTTGGATAGATCTTCGTAGCCACTCCATTCATATCTCAACTGCCGTTTCCCACTCAAACTGTGTCACAGTGTGAAGCGGCTTTTGTTCATAGTTATTGGTTACAAATGTTTGTAAACAGACGGATGAATGAGTCGAACATTGTACAGTTATCATTTATGATTTATTTGCCTTCTTGATCAATGCTGAATTGTTTGGTAATGTTGAAGATCAAACAACCTTACAAACGGACAACGACACTGCAGCAAACCACAAACTACTATCCCCGGCTGGGTTATGGGTGTGGACTGCTGAGGAGTCCAATTCTAGTACGAAATAACTGTCCAATGTTCCCACGTTTTCAATGTTTTTCAACTGATGTCAGTCCCTGATGTACACCAATCTGAAGTCAATAAATAAATCCTCGGAAACCTTTAAAAAAAACTGCGTAAATGTTTACCGAAAAAAATATCTTATGCAGTTGGTAGTTTGTGGTGATATAAACCTCTTGATAATGCTCCCGTTAGTAAAGTGATATCACCTGGTTACATATATGAGGGTAGACACTTGAACAGTAACGTTCAGATTTCTACCCTTGATAGTCGCTTTGTTTCTCAGTAAGATAACAGACGGTGTATTGCAACCTTAAGTTATGTACAAACTTGAAAGGTTTATATTCATTTACGGTGACCTTGGTCATCTCTAGGCCTTTCTAAAAGAGCTCTTCCTATTGATTTTATCTCTTCAATCAGTTTGATATTTATACATGGGTTCATATACCTGTTTTCAAAACTTCACAGTAAAACGATTGAATGCGAAAGGCTTCGGGAATTTAGAGCTTATTGTGAGGGTTTTGGCGATCTTATCACATACTGTGATGCATGGAAGACATTCACCATGTGGGACAGTTCATTAAATCAACCACGGTAGTTCAAAACAAGATTAAAACCCAACCACTTACATTCATTTAAATAGTCCTTAGAAAGAAAACTCATAAATAACGTAACAGCCAGTCAGAAAAAGTTAATAAAAGCAGCAATAAACCTGAATTACAAATAGATAAGTATGATTTAGGGGTCTTTCGGCACAGAAACCGAATCCACATTTGGAAAAATTATAATAAATTTGGTTAACTAGCGGACGAATGAATATGTACACAGCATGGATAGAAATCATCCGGATAGGTGTTTAGAACCTGGAAGCATTGAACACTTTCTGTTTCGTCCCATTCTAGGACTCATCAGCCGCTTAGGCCCACATGATGTCTGCTTGTGGAGAAAACTACTCTAAAAAGCATATTGTCTCCACATGAATCATCTTCAGAAGTTGTAGAATCATATTCATAAATACAGAGAACATTGAAGATTACGAGAGGTGCCTCTCGGGCCCTGTTGTCCTGGTGGATAATACTTCAGCGTTTGAAGCAATGGGGACTGGATTTGAATCTTACTGGGAGCAACATCACCCACTAGTGTGCAGGCAAATCCACATGAAGAGTCGCAAATGGAACTAAGTGCGTGTTTCGAATTACATTTCTAGTCACTAGGTCGAATGTAAGTTCACTACTATTCAAAAGGACAGTACTGGACCATAAGAAATGTGCAGTTATGAAAAATTTGAAATGAATGCATGTAAAGATAGGAAAATAGGTAGAAGTCATAGAGAAGTTGATAATAAGAAATTCTAGCAAGTGAAAGGAGTCAAACTGTGTTAATGATGTCTATTCAGTCAGTGAGTGTATATACCACATCTAAGTAAATATCTGCGGTGCTATATGCCCTAATTTCGTAAAGGTTTTGCCTGCTGCTTTGCCCATGACCTTAAAATAACCTACATGACTGTTTTCACACTTGCTAGTTTTTCTTCCCTCTCCTTTCAAGGCTGAACCCTCATTGGTCGTTAATTATTTTAACTTATATGTGGATTTAGTGTTGTCAAGGTCATTTAGAAATGTATATATTCAGCATTACTGTCAACTAACAGCAACGCTATTAGGCACAGGCCAATAGATTGGTACATTCACTTGAGATGAACAAATAATTTAAACGAATTCTATGTTAAAGCATTATGACGATCATTTATAACAGATGTTAGATGACGAAGTTGACTATTGGTCTATTATTTCTTCTGAATAGCTTGCTGGGAGGGAAGATGGTTGGAAATGCATTTGGAAAGAATGTACTTAGCACGGTCTAGACCAGCAGCTCCACTTTATTAGGTCGACAGGTGAAATGGGTTGTTAGTCCATTCAGACTTCAGTTTTCAGACTGACTTTTCTGTTAGGGAATGTTTAGCTAGCATACTGGAAGTATTTATCATTGCAATTGTGAAATATCTTGTCTGTAAATTGTTATATATAACTTTCATTTCTATTGATCGGTCAAAGAGTTTTTGGGCTTAATATGATTCTGATTGACCGATCAACATTCTACTTCAATACTTCTCAGAACTAAGAGTATTCCGAACAATTTATATAATACTACTAAGGTCGGAATGAAAGATAATAGGTCTAAATTACATCAGAATATTGATTATTTGAAGTTGTTCAGTACATAATAAAGTTTTGAATCAGTCGTCTATGAACCACACCATATATTAAAGGGTGAGTAAAATATCTTCGAATCCGCTGAATGTTAGTCGATGTAGTGAAACTAGAACATGCGATTCACCGGTTTATAATTGTTAATCTTCCTGGTGGATGAACTATACGTAGTGTGCAAAAGTTTAACTTCATCACAGCAAAAGATCACTTCATTTATGATTGAACATTATGTTAGGCTGAGAAAGGATGCATCATGCAGATTAAAATGCACGCCATCAGAACCTCTACTAGACAGCAGGCATTCTACTGAGCTAACAATCATCTTGTCTACTTTCCAATCGTTTATTTTGCTTTGTATACCAGTTGCATACATTGTTTTTATGTAATCACTATTACCTGTGTAGGTTGTGGTTCTAAAACACAAACTTTTTTATTACAGCTGAATGATGGTAAAGGCGTCAGCCCATTGGTTGGATTGGATATGAACTTATATCCAGTATTCTTAGAGAATATAACTGGTAGAGGAGCAAATGTTGTTATTATTGATGATGGACTGGATACAACACATCCAGATTTAAAAGCAAATTACGATGAAACAATATCAGCTAACATGGATAGACCTGAGACGAATGGTTTAAGTCCTCGTGGACCACGTAAAATAATCCCTGAGAATGATGGGTAAGTGAAAAATTTCTAACTGATATATATACTGCTTTGCTCTCAGTCAGCTTTTCTTCCTGATTTCTTTACGTTTAGGAGATGAAGATGAAGACGAATACCTAAATGTTTTGATTATCTCATTACTGAAAAAAATCTTCCACCAAGCATAAGATGAAACGCTAGACTGGCGGATTTTTACCTTAATTTTCCTCGAGTGGAATCCAAAGGAGAAACGATGAGTTGCGCATCAGAGGGTGACATGGAAGAGATCATGTCAGGAAGAAATGAAAGCTCGTAGGCAGTCTTGGAGCCGGATTTAAAAGACTGTTAAATGGAGACATACTACTAAAGCTTTATGTTCCACTAGCAACCCAAAGGACAAATAATAATTATAATCTCCTTATCATTTTACTAACTGGGATAGCTGTGGTGACTGAAGATGAAATGAAAATTTAGACTACTGCCGGATTCGAACCAGCAACAACCGGGTTTCGCACCTGATACTCTACCAACGGAGCTACGAGGTTCGTATGCTGTTAACTGACTATATATCATGACAATGAAATGGTAAACTTGAGCATAACATCCTCAGCTTCCAATCCGGCTACAATTCGTACACTGTAAGATAAGCAATTTGATTAAATTCAGTCTGAAGCATAGAAGTGAACTACTAGTGAGCTAGGTGGCTACTTCATCACAACTTAAAATAGCACATTCACAACGTCTCATGTTATGAGTTTTTTTCTCCATGAAATAACTTGAAAAAATTACCCACTCGCTATTCTTAATGTCACTTAACCAGTAAATGAACACAGAACATTTTCTGATCCTTAATTTTTGTCTTCGATTATTGTTATCATCTCACCTTCTATAAATCATCTCGTCTTACACAATATAGTCGAGTTTTTGATTATGTAACTTCTAAAGTGTGCACTTCACTAGTTTTGGTTTCTAGTTTGTTGTGCTTTTTTGGACTACCCACCAGTCTTTAACTCTATTCCTAAAGCACTCTTGTTAAATCAGCCTTCCATGGGTCATACTGAGTAGTGGATTACATAGTGGCTGTATTCTTGTTTGTTTGTTTTTTGAAAGGAAACAGTATACTGTCTATAGAGGGAGGTGCTCCACTTCATTGCTTAGTGAAGCTGGGATATCTCAAGTTTCTGTACTTTCTCCTCTTTTGTTTTCGTTCTCTTTGAACGACTTATTTTATTCTGTTGGAACTAATTTCATTCAGTATGCTGATGACCTGAAGGTGTCTATTCCAGTTACCTCTCATTTAGATTGCTCTTAATTAAATGGATTCTTGTCTCTTATTGAACAATGGTCTCTCTCAAATGGTCTCAAATTAAACTCTTCAATAAATGTCACACTGTTAATATTAAGCTCAGGTGTAAACAAAACGTGTATGAGCTGCTTACATCCCATGACGCCTGTTGCAATATTGATGGTATTTCTGCTTGAAGTAAATCGAAGGTTAACTATCTTGTATCGAGATAAACTTTTAATCTTTGTTGGTCGTCCCATATCTTGTTGACTTGTAAAAAAATCTTTCCTTTTACGGATTACATAAAGGAACTGAGGCTCTCTGGTATAAATCAACCTCTACTATTACAATTTATTAGTTCCTGCATTCTATCTATTCATCTCTATTGTTCCCCGTTGTTCTTTCCTAGCCTACTAAATAAGGACCATGTTATATTGCGTAGGACTTTGAAAGCCGTCAGTAGGGTGAGGGCTCTGCCTCTGGTTCAAATGATTAACACTATAGTTGACAGATATTTAAATTCTACCAACCAAATAGCTACGGTAATTTTAACTGACAATGAGCATCCACTTCATTCACAGCTCTCTTCTTGTATCTTCCCTCAGGGAGGAAAAGAAAAAATTACATAAGACTGTAAGCTTGTACAGTCAAGTACAAGAATTCGACTGTATCTTGCCTAACATGCATATTACGTGAGGAAAAATGTGTTAGAACAGAACTAACATATCGACTTTGTAACAGTGAATAATCTCATTTCAATAATTTGATTAACAATGTAGAGTGTTCTCGTTATTAATATTCCTTACATTGGTTAAATTTTTATAATAACACTATTCGAAATGTTGTAAAGGAGGATATACACACATCTATTTTGTTGCTGTTGCGAAATATCATGCTGAGAATTCCAAACTGAACCATAAATTGTTTGGAATAAAGTGAATTATTATTAGTAGTAGTAGCAGTGGTAGTAGTAGTGGTGTGAGTAGTAGTAGTAGTAGTAGTAGTAGTAGTAGTAGTAGTAGTAGCAGTAGTATCGTTACTAGAATCGTCAGGCTAGTCTCTATGCGATTTGCTTAGAATTACTATTTGCTAAGTATTACAAATCTACTCCTTTTTTTTCGTGGAAATCTCAGCTTCCAGAAAATTTACTAACTCTTTAGACATCCACTTTCGGTTGTTGTTTAGTGTTCGATGAATTTGTTCTGTCTTGAAGATATGACTTTAGATGCAGGTTGTTGATGAGTGCTGACAAGCACGAGTTCTGTTGACTTACCACCAACATTTAATACTTAAACTACTGTTCATTAAAGAGTTGATTTAGTTAGCTTAATGATGAAATTGCAAAACATAAGAGATGGACAGAATGTAATCAGCCCTGAGAGCTAAGGATGAGACACCTACATCGGTTACTCTTAGTTTAAACACTGTCTTCCAAAATTTCTGAGTTGTTTTATTCAAAGTTGGCCATTACTTAATTAGGCGTAAGACATTATATCATGAAATTTTACCGTTATTTGCTATGTATAATTCAATTACACTCGGCAACTACTTACATATTCGTACAGTCAGCAATGAGCCACATCTGTTGTATGACTTTCCACACCTTGATAGATGGAGTGGGTTATGAACCATTGGTCCACACATTTTGAAGGTGTATTAAGATGTGAAGGAAAACCAGAGGAAAATCCGGTTAGAATTATCCTTCAAACAGGAGAGAGGGGACAGATAAACAAAACCAAAAATTGAATACGAGACTGAAAAAATAGATTTAGTCAGTGGAAGGCCAGAAGAAGATTAAGGCTTCGATGTGTTCCTTCTGAACAAAACTTTTACGACTAGTTGGTCTTATAGCCACAGATTCAGCTATATGAAGAATGAGTAAACAAACGATAGACAGTAGAATCTTTTAAACGTAGCGTATCACATCGAAAGCTGTGGTCGCATCTGCCTAGTGTGCTTTGTCTATCAAACCAACCTCAATAATCCTGTCATTATCCTAAGAAAGACATGTCTAATTATGCATAGGGGTATCTGAATTTCTATGTACATGGTAATGAGCTGAAATAAGAGAAGGGATCTTTAATTTTCCAAATGAATAACGGATTAACAGAAGCGTCTTGAGTAAAACATTCTGTTTATGGCTGCAGATAGATATTTTGACAGAACCTCACTTGAAGTTTCTCCTTTGAATTTCGGAAGTACAAACAAAGGTTTATTTATCATTGTCCCTTCATGTATGGGATATTTATAGATGAAGTTTACTTTAATGAACTAATTAGAATATCCATTTTCCGTTAAAATATCCTGCAAGGCTGATAGATCCTTCCGGACATACTTCTGATAACAGAATGATTTTGCTCTAAACAATAAACATGTAATCATATTTCGTTCATAATTCATTAATACAAGGTTAAGGGAGTGGGTATACTGTACTTTGATCGTCCTTCAAAATACACTTCTTTCTATGGAACCATCTAATTTTACTGTCAGTAGAACATCAAGTAAACGAAGTTAGTTGTTTCTTTCTCTTACGTTTGTAAAATAATCTAATGGATGGATACTATTAAGATGACTGAGGATTGAATCACTAGTCTCGAATTCGCCATCTATGTGGCAAAAATACAAATCTGTTTTAGCAATATCTTTCTTAACTGGTTGCTATCATGATTTTACTAAAAATATGACAGTAAATACATCGCCTATTTAGAATGCCACTGATGTGCAGTCAATTGGTCTGTATGTTTTACTATTGGACAAGAAGTGGACATACATTATACACTTTAGCTGTAACTCCTTGAAATTCATAACACGGACGTCTGTACTTATTTTCCGTTTTACTAGCTGTTCTCAGACATAATTCTCGACCACCCTGAGAAGAATTTTAATAACCAAAGATGTTATATTAAGAAATATCATACACTTATCTATCATATTTATAATTATTATTATTTATACTGGGTAATGATTGAAGGTGAGATGAAAATCTAGACGGCGGCCGGATTCAAACCAGCGACCACCAAGTGGTCTGCCAAACCATGGAAATCTCAGATAGTCGAATGATAGTTAATTATTATGTTCACAGTCTAAAAGGTAGCCTTGAAGTTATATTTAGCTAATTCATCACATAAAGACTGTAACAGTTTTACTAGCCAATTAAAAAGCCCATGTTATGCCGACTGTGATACCAAGGAAGCAGTTCACTTTTAGGAATTTTCAGTAAAGCACACATACAAGAAATTGATATGCCTAAAGTTTTCAACTTTTCATATGTGACTGACAAAATAAGCCCTTCTTTGAAAAAGGAATTAGATACATTTTTCAACATTTTCAGTTAGGTCTTTCAAGAATTCTAACTAATTTCAAGTTGTTATTCATCGAAGACTGACATCAGTTGGAGGAACAAAGGAAACCTGGGAGCACTGGACAGCTGTCTCGTCCGACTAGTATGGGACTCCTCAGCAGTGCGCACCCACGACCCCACACCAGCAGGGATCGAACCCGCGACCTTCAGGTTCCGCGACCAGCGCGTTGCCATTGAGCTAGCCACTGGGTCAGAATCCAATGCTCCATATTTCCAACTTCTGTTAGCTCACGATATAGCGCAAACCGCCACCCAATGTCATCGTTGAGTATCTGTCCTCACGGCCATCAGGCTTTGACTCCACCGGTCACGACTTGTCATTGGAACTTCGAGAATACTTCTCGAAGCTAGTCACCAACGAGCACTAGTTCAATTAAATTTTGAGGGGGTTGTGGAGATTTGGAAATATTTCAAGTTGTTATTCATTCTAACTAACAAAACTTTCTTTTTGAAATAAAGTGTTTATTTCTCCCATACAATCTCCTTTATTCTCATGTAACCCTGTAACCCTTCTTATCAAATTTAATGATAAAAACATGTTTTTATTCAGTTTCAGTTTCCTTATGTCTTCACATGACTGTTTTGTTAATTTGCTTTTTACAGTATTCTTGTCATTTCTATACGGGTAGCAGCAATCGACTGAAAAGTGATTTTAATCTCTTCAACTCTATGTTAGATGAAATGACTAAGTCATTGGTTGGTGTGACAAATTGTTTAAAATATACACCTCTATCTATTTGATTTACACTTCTGCGAATGTAAGAAAACACATAAATCAAAGAGATAACATCTCCAATTCTAATTTATCAAGCATTCTATTAGAATAAGAATGAAAGTACCTCCATATTAGATTTGTTTATTTGATTTATAACACACAGTCATCTAGTATTATTTACTGGATGACGACGTTTCCAGCATAAATTATTACCACTCGTAGTTATGTCAATATAATCACAGATCACTTTCAACATTTGATTTTTATAGTTATGTCACCTCATATGAGTTGTTTTTATTGGTAGTAAAATCTTTCATATCTCTGGTATAGGTGTTGCGTCATTTCTGTTACACTTGTTGAGTGTTGATTCGATGAACAAAGATTCAGTAGTCAATATCCCACTTTCTCTCTCCACCTAATTATATTGAACTTAGGCAGTACAGTGACCTTATACAAACATATTGTGTGGTTATGTTAGTGCATATATAGCAATAAACGAGTTTTTTCCAGATTACTGGTCTTATTCAGTTCTGTCATTCTATATTCAGCGTAATTCCTATGCTTGGCTATTCTAACTGGCCTCGACCGGCTGACTAGTTTGACCTATGTACTTTACCTAAACCACAGACATTATATGGAATTTGATAGATGAGATTATTTTACTTAATTGGTTCTATGGGATACTTAAGCCAGCCAACAAACCTCATCATCTCTGAGTGATTTTGTAGGTTTATATGCCACCCTAATTTCAGCTTTGCTGAGGATCCTACGTGAAGTTTCTGAGCTACCCCCCTTAAACGGTAGGGTAACACAATACAGGCTGTGAACTCCTTCTACTCGTGTTGTCGTTACTAGTGGCACTCGTGTGACTGTTATTATTCTCTTTCTTGTGTGTCTGTACAAATTTCTCAATAAACTGCGTAGGATAATTATTAACTATTAGCACTTCGTTTACGTGTTTCAATTCCTTATTTAGGCCCATGCACTGACTAGTCAGTCTTCTAGCTCTATCACTTAGACATTTGACTAATCCTGCCTCAAGTGACATTGGATGAGATGACTTGAAGTCTAGATACCTGTTGGAATGTGTTGGTTTTCTGTAAACAGTAGTATCCAAATCACCACCTGTCCTTCGTTTTAACCTGCAATCCAACATAGGTAATTCTTCTTGCTCATTTTCTACTTCCTCATAAGTGAATTGGATTGCAATCACTACTGAGTTTCATTGTGTGCAGAAACTGTCGATATGCTTTGATTTCAAGAGAGTGTTGAATGTGTCATGCACATATCACCAGCATATTTTAGGTGCAGGATTCATTGCGCGTAAAGCCATATTTTCCCAACTATCTATAAATAAATCTGCTACGATTGGGGATATTGGCGATCCTATTGCAACACCTATACCAGAGATATGAAAGATTTTACTACCAATAAAAACAACTCATATGAGGTGACATAACTATAAAAATCAAATGTTGAAAGTGGTCTGTGATTACATGGACACGACTATGGGCGGTAATAATTTATGCTGGAAACGTCGTCATCCAGTAAATAATACTAGATGACTGTGTGTTATAAATCAAATAAACAAATCTAATATGGAATTTTTTTTTTGAGGGGTTGTAGAGATTTGGAAATATTTCAAGTTGTTATTCATCGAAGACTGACATCAGTTGGAGGAACAAAGGAAACCTGGGAGCACTGGACAGCTGTCTCGTCCGACTAGTATGGGACTCCTCAGCAGTGCGCACCCACGACCCCACACCAGCAGGGATCGAACCCGCGACCTTCAGGTTCCGCGACCAGCGCGTTGCCATTGAGCTAGCCACTGGGTCAGAATCCAATGCTCCATATTTCCAACTTCTGTTAGCTCACGATATAGCGCAAACCGCCACCCAATGTCATCGTTGAGTATTTGTCCTCACGGCCATCAGGCTTTGACTCCACCGGTCACGATTTGTTCCTTTGTTCCTCCAACTGATGTCAGTCTTCGATGAATAACAACTTGAAATATTTCCAAATCTCCACAACCCCCTCAAAATTTAATTGAACTAGTGCTCGTTGATGACTAGCTTCGAGAAGTATTCTCGAAGTTCCAATGACAAGTCGTGACCGGTGGAGTCAAAGCCTGATGGCCGTGAGGACAGATACTCAACGATGACATTGGGTGGCGGTTTGCGCTATATCGTGAGCTAACAGAAGTTGGAAATATGGAGCATTGGACTCTGACCCAGTAGCTCAATGGTAACGCGCTGGTCGCGGAACCTGAAGGTCGCGGGTTCGATCCCTGCTGGTGTGGGGTCGTGGGTGCGCACTGCTGAGGAGTCCCATACTAGTCGGACGAGACAGCTGTCCAGTGCTCCCAGGTTTCCTTTGTTCCTCCAACTGATGTCAGTCTTCGATGAATAACAACTTGTAATATGGAATTAAATTCTACCGCAGTGGCCAAGTTTTACACCTATATTAATGAACGTACCTCTTTGGACCTGTAACAAACTTGCACTATCGAAGGCGACTTTCTAAACCTTTGATCAACTGTATTCCTTTTTTTTGAACAGTTTTTTTTGAAAATCTGATTAATGTGTTCAATAATAAAATTGTTCAGATACACTCTGATAAATTACAAATTAAATTTATCATACATTTTAGTCATGGAACAAGATGTGCTGGTCTTGCTGGTGCAGTGGCAAACAACAGTTTTTGTTCTCATGGTGTAGCACCAAACACTAAATTAGGAGGTAAGTTATATTCACTAAAAAAATCCTTTTTAATCTCTGAAAATATCACCTTATTTTGATAGACTACTGATGAACAAATTGATTAGGTAGAAAGCATTCAGGTTGACCTGTAGACTTTGCTAGCTAGGTCAGAAAGATGTGAACGCTAGACAGCTGTTTCGTTTACTTGGAGCTAGGCTTATCACCTGTGTACCCAGATAGATTTAGTTTAAATCACATGAATTCAGCTGGCTGACTTTCATGGACCGATATACATAAGATAGGATGATCAATTTGCAAATGATATACAAATTGCCTAGTCTTTGTTAAGATTAGTAGGTTTAGCAATTCTCTACACATTTCAGAACTATTATTATTTTTTCCCTTGGGATCCTAGTGGAACGTACAGCTTCAGTAACACGCCTACATTCCACTCTCTTCTACGCAGTCCTCTCAACCTCGCTCCATCACACCCAACAAGTTTTCATTTCTTCCTCACATCATCTCCTCCATGTCATCCTCTCCTCAGACACCCAACTCGTCATTTCCCATCTGGGTTCCACTCAACGGTCTGGCCTGGCCTGGCCTGGCCTGGCCTGACGCATGATGTCCTCAATAGGCCTTCTCAGTGTATGCCCATTCCAATCCATCTCCACTGCCACTCTCTTCTTCTGTATATTTGTTGGGTGAAATGTTCTTGTTTGGTTCGTTCTCAGAGTTCCTTGTTGCTTATTCCTATTATTCTGGCCATCTGAGCTTCAGTATGGAGCGTAGACATCAGAGGTTGATGAATGTCTGTAGTTTGTTGGAAGTGCTTTTCGTGATGCGCCGAGTCTCTCAACCATCACATAGGACCACTGACTTGACTGGATTCGTGTTGAAAATCCGGATCTTGTGCATGCTTCATGCTTCATGCTGAGTGGAGTGGAGTGGAGTGCAGTAGATCTCCACACTGATTGGTTTGAGATCAGTGAAAGCCTGTCTTGCTGTCTTTCCGATCCTGACTGTTTTTGACGTCTTCGTGTATGCCTGTGCCCGTGACAGCGCCTGTAGTTGAGATGAGGCTACCTTGCCTGACTGGGTAGGTGTGAGAGACTACTCCCTTTAGGTAGCTCCCGTTAATGGTGATTGGTGTCTCTCGTTGTTATTGGTGGTGGTGTTGGTTGGGTTTCTTCATCACCTCTACCTCCGTCTTCCTCCTCTCTACGTTCACTTGAAGTCCCGTTTTCACTGACTCTTCTGTCATCTTGTTAGTCCTTTCCTGTAGATCTTCGAGTTTGAGCGACATAAGACATTACACATAAATCGTTGGTGAAATTAAAATCTCCTTAGTTCTTTTCATTGGTCAAACTGCATACGCCTATCTTCATGCTCCTCTGGGTTTGCTGCATGATCCAGTCCACCATAATCAGGAAGATCATCGGGGATAATAGATGGCGGCCTTGTCTTACTTGTGTCTTCAGTTCGAAGGTATCACTGAGCTTTCCATTGTGAATGACTTTGCACGTGGCGTCGTCATATAGTTGTTGAATGAGGTTGACATGGATTTGTGGCAGTGAAATTGTAGTGTTGAAGCAGCTGCCTGGCAAATTACTTCTTGATCGACGCTGTGGAAGGCCTTTTCAAAGTCAGTGAAGTTGAGGTACAGTTGAGTTGACTGCCATTCTATACTGTTTTAACTGATGATGATGCTTAGCTTTGTAAATTGATCCGCATTTCAGAAGAATCCTAATACCATCCTCTTCTATGGTTAAAATTCACTGGTAAAATGTAGCTTTAATGACTTAGAAGAAAAAGCAACTGTCGGCAGCACTTTGATGACAACCACTTTAGGGTGATTAGATTTCAAATCACCTCAAAATTGGTCAAACATTCATCAACCATTTTTCTTCAATTCATGGTCTATATACTGCAGTAACCGCTTCAATTCGTAGATGGTACTGGTAACTGAGAGCTCAATGGAGTGCTTTACAATTTGATAAATTTTGATGCGGTGTAGTCATGAAAAGTTTATTATGCTTGCACATGAGTTACATACGGACTAATCATGCACCCATGCTTTTAAAGATTATAAAATTGAATGAAGAAATTCTCAGATTCCACCGAAATTCTAGTGGTTATCCATGTAACGCGTAACATCTTGAGGAGAACCACTCCTGATACTTATTTGGTAGAAGAATGGATGCTAGAAAGAACTTTAGTTTTAGAAAAGAATGATTTACTTTAGCAACCAACTAAAAGCGTACACAGTGAACACTGCGTCCCATCTGTGGTGTCAAAATTATTGTCGCTATTTAGCTGTTCAGATGTCTGTTAGCGAAGTTGCGTATGAAGTTGTAACTCATACTTTGGCAGCCGAATTCCGCAATCAGTGAGATTTAGAATGATGATTCTGAATAAGGCATAAATGAAACACGCGTCATGATCTTCATATCCCCACCATTAACATCACCAAGAATACTAAGTAGTAACATGAAGTGGGAGAAAAGACTAGTCTGGAAGAGACCAGTTGAAATGTACAATTTGTTATCACGTCTACAGTTACCCAGACAGACAGACGATGGATCACCCAATGAATAAGATTATTTCAAATGACTAACTATCTGTATACTAGATATATTTTCCTGAGTTTTTCATTCAGTCTCTTGACTCCAATAAACGTTTCTACGCGTTCATCGTGCCTTCCTCACTAATTAGTCGGGTCCGAAATCAACTAGGAATTTGTTGAATGTTCCTGGCTGACAGCCGACATCCATGCATCGTTAGCGGCCATAGCATATAGTAATTTTCGAATCATAACGGTCGCCACGGGGATGGGATATCGGGAAAATGGACTCTTCGAATTTGGAAAATTTCCATGAACAACAAATGAGGATTATCGAGATACTTACGAAGTCCAAACTTCTTGGTTCTGAATCATCGCCTACTTCGTCGGTTTGAATAGCTCCCTCAGGTGATAGCGTCGCCAGCGATATCACTGAATTTCATCACGACCCTGATGCCAATCAGACTTTCGATAGCTGGTTCAGGCATAATGAAGACTACCTCAAGTGGATTTCGCTGGCCAAGATGATTCGTGGAAGGTACGTCTCTTACTTCGAAAGCTTGGTCCACCTGAGCTTGACCAATACTGGTACATGGTTTCACCGTAGAACCAGGTTGGTCACACTGAATGACGCGTCTTCAGAATATCAACGACTGGGCAACCTGTAGCTTGATACGAGTTTAGCCTGACCCAAATGCCAGGGTGGTCCTGAAGTACATACAATTTCCCAGACGTCTCACTCCTCTGCATCAACTTCTGGCTACACACCCCTTGGCCTTATCCCGCCTGTTAATCGACCCAACAACTCATGTCGTACACACTGATCCCCGAAGAAGACACCCTTAGTGCCCTGCTGGCATTATGGTGCCTGGCGTCTAGTCAAATCTCCTCCACGTAAACAACATCGATCCCGGGACTGTAATACTGAGGGACATAAAGACAGCTTTTGCCGCCAACATACACAACGACGTGTACAAAAGTTATCCTCCAGATACAACCATAGATCCCATCCTCGGCTGGTAGATAAATCTCCTGACTTTATAGCTGTTGTTCATGCTTACCCACCTCCCAGCCGAAAGAATTTGGAGAATACTAGTGAGCCTTTAGAAAACAAGGTGAAACTCCTTATGTGTCGGTCGGAGAGTCGCAAGAAAAAGAGTGCTGCTCACCCTGATCCCAAATAGCATTCTTTCGAAGAGGAAGGTGATATGACGGTACAGAGAAAAGACTAGTCGGGAGAGGGACAAACCAAAATGTACTTTACGTTATCACGTCTACAACTAGCCAGACAGACAGACGATGGATCACAAAATGAATATCATTATTTTAAATGATGAACCATCTTACATTAGTTATATTGTCTTTAGCTTTCAGCCTGTGCTTTTCGACACCAATACACGTTTCTACACATCCATCTCATCTTTGACATTAATTATTCGGGTCGGGAATCAACTAGAAATTTGTTGAATGCTGATGGCTAACAGTCATTATCCATACTTCATAAACGGCCATAGCAGTTTCCAAAATTTAACAAGTAGTATTTCTCTTTTCAAAGTAAAAAAAAATAACATTGAACAATAATAATTGTACTTCAGTTGAGTAGTACACTAGAAAGCAAGAAAGTGAATCCTCTTCAGATGTTAATTATTTTGTTGGCAGACTACAAATTAAGATGGTGCAAAAACAGTTTGTCCTTACAAGTACGGAGGACTCAATGGATGATGATATCAAAATACTAACGGAAACATTAGTGGAAAATGGATATCCATTGAAGTTCATAAACCGCTGCAAAAATCAGCGAGGATTCAAACCTGATCTGTGCTCTGTTTCGAAGAAATGCGTTTACATCGCGTTACCATACAGAGGAGAATCTAATAGCATAATATTAAAACGAAGGTTAAGGTCTGCTGTTAGTAAAACGTACTATGCAGCTAAGCTTATCATAGTTGAGAAGACCAAACACCTGCTGCTACCTAGACCTCAACGCTGTATAAACGATTGTGTCACATCCCATTGCGTTTATAAATTTACATGTGTGTGTGGACAAACATACATAGGGAGGACGAATCGTGATATGCACTTGAGGGTAGGGGAACATGTTCCAAAGTGGCTACGAAAGCAGCTGCATTCACAAACATTGATAAGCACAGATGGCAGACAACCATCATCAGCCATTGCAAAACATATCATTGATAAGAGTCACAGAATTGATATCAAGACAGCCTTTACAATTTTGTACCGAAACTGTCAGGGGCGTATACTTAAGTTTGTTGAGGCGCTAGCCATAAATAAATTTAACCCCACATTGTGTGTGCAAAAACAGTTTGTCCTTACATTAAGCCTACCTTGGTAATGCTTATTTTATCGCATTACCAAGATTGTCTTCAAGTCTTATCTTTTATTCCTCTCATTATCTTTCTTATTATTGAATTCCTTTATGTCATATGTATCCTTCCCCCACTTCCAGTTTTCATATATAATGCCTTAACAAGTAAATGTGTGATCAGATTGTTCGAAATGTATAGCGCTAATACATCACATTTTTCAGATAATCTACGTCTTCTAATTACATTATCCAAATTCATAAAAGGGACTAATTGTTTCAAAACCAATGTTCTTAAAGAAGTTGCTGGTGGTTCATAGAAAGATGGAGTAATTAAGCAATACATTGAATAGCTGATAAATACTTGTTAATCTTTCAAGCCATCAGTATTCGGGATTGGCTATAAACAGGGGAATCTCAGAAAGAAAGGTTTCATTTCAGATCCTTTGAAGTCATTTCTATTGAAATACTTGTTTGAAGGTATCCTGGCCAACAATGGACTGGATGGTTTGAAAAAAACTTGGGCACCGAGTTAGTATCATTCATTGTATAGGATGTATTTTTACTTGTGTAATCCCGTCGTAGTATATTAGAACAAACAACAAAATAAACAAATATTTTGTATTATTCCTCAACCTTTCGATCTTGCTAGGAAGATCCTTTGCAAGAGTATGAATCTGACACTAAGTTTTCAGGTTAATATTCAAGTTTTGGTACCAGAAAGTGGTGACCTTTACAACCATCCAATTACATAGTGATAAGGAGGAAAGATAAATGTAATACAGGTGAGTGAATAAGCAACTCACTCAGAGAGGTTTTCCGTTGTGCGAGTAAGGTGGAACAAAACAAAGCCTGATGGCCGTGAGGACAAATACTCAACGATGACATTGGGTGGTGGTTGCGCTATATCGTGAGCTAACAGAAGTTGGAAATATGGAGCATTGGATTCTGACCCAGTGGCTAGCTCAATGGTAACGCGCTGGTCGCGGGACCCGAAGGTCGCCCGTTCGATCCCTGCTGGTGGGTTCGTGGGTGCGCACTGCTGAGGAGTCCCATACTAGTCGGACGAGACAGCTGTCCAGTGCTCTCAGGTTTCCTTTGTTCCTCCAACTGATGTTAGTCTACGATGAATAACAACTTGAAATATTTCCCAATCTCCACAACTCCCTCAAAAATAGGGTGGGGAAATTTTTAGTTCGTCTATGAAAAGTACAATGGGGTTGTGAGACATCAAGGGTGAGAAAGAATAGATTACTAGTTTGGAAGGATGAATATTTGAAGATGAGACAATATATCTTAAATAAATAATAATAATAATAATGATAACCATAAATGTACCTTTGATAACACTTGAAGTATGAGTGATAAGCAAATGGATTATGTTATGGTTCATCGAATGTATATGACTCAGAGAGTAGTGTAAAATTGATGAAAATAGTAGATCAATAAGGTGTATGTAATAGGACTAGACAATCTATCTTCTCTTCAGATATTATTTATAACTGCCTAGGCGAGTCATTAATGTTTGCCATATTAGTGGGATGTCTAACCCATCTTTTCTGTTGACCAAAGAAGGATATGAGCAGATGTGCAAAGCTTCTGCAATGGTCCACTCTTTGTGAGAGAGAAAACCCTCTTGCAAAACTTTTGTCTGTTCGAATGATACTTTATGACCTGAATATAGGGCATGAGCCACGATAGCAGAGCTTTTTTCTAGTTGAGGAATAATACAAAATATTTGTTTATTTTGTTATTTGTTCTAATATACTACGACGGGATTAAACAGATAAAAATACATCCTATACAATGAAATGCTTGTTTAGCTGTAAATTATAAAGTCAACGTTTTTTAGCTCTACAGCATAAACAGTTGAACCAATTTAAATATTCAATAGATAATAAGTTTCTTGAACATCTCAGGTACACCGTATTGATGAATGTCAGGAGTCATGGAACTAAAGTTAGTTATAACATTCTTTTAATGAATGCCTATTATGTAATACCAGACAGAATGAAATAAAGTGTTGAGTCATTCATACGAAAAATCATGCTTAGAATATTATCTATACTTGGGACTTTTAAATACTAGAGAAAGTTGTCTAATTCTTGGCTTTAATTGTGAACATTGTAATTCTAAGTCTCCAAGAAAGCATAATTATTCTAAAGGTGGAATAAATACTTTGTTAAAAAGTTCTAGCTAAACAAAGGATAGATAAAAAATAGAGCTTTCTAGCCGCTGACTCCATACACCGAAGACCGACATATGAAAATGATTGAAATATTGATTTTTTTTTCTTGTTGACGAACTATACTTCACTCTTTACCCTTCTTATTATCTTTTCTTAAGGTATACGCATTTTAACTGCTCCAGTTACAGATATTTTAGAGGCTAGAGGATTATCATATCAAGCAGAACTAATTAATATATATTGTTCATCATGGGGACCATCAGATGATGGTATCACGATGGACTTGCCACATGAATATGCAGAAAAAGCACTCAGTCATGGTATTGAAAAGGTGAGTAACTATTCCTCGATTTTTGTTTCCTCTCTACTCATATTCATTTTCGGAGACCCTAATCAATTTGCATACAAAGGCAGAAGAAGCACTTTGAATACCAACGCTCTCTTATATCACAATATTGCTTATAGTCTTGATAAAAATCCCAAGTATGTCAGGTGAACCATTTTAGACTATACTCCGGCATTTGATTCTATCCCCAAGGCCTGTTTTGCTGGACAAGCTAACTGAGAGAAATACTGAGTCCTAAATAATCAGCTGGCTGTATTCCTATTTTTCTGGTAGGAAACAACATAGTGTTCACTAAGGGAAGTGCTCCATCTAGTTGGTTACTGTGGCTGGTGTTCCCCAAGGAGCCATCCTTTCCCCCGATCTTTTCTCTTCCTTTCCGAATCACTTACCAACTCCAGCTGGTATCAATTTCATTATATATGCTAATGACCCAACAGTTTCCATACCTATCTTCTCTTAAGCAGATCGCTTCCAACTGAATGATTTCTTATCTACTGTTAGACGATGGTCCTATGCTTAAGTCTTTAAACTATCAGACTACTAATTTAGTTTCAGACGCGAACATAACTTATGTAAGCTGTTTAGATCTCATGATTCTTGTTCTACTGATAGTTGCGCATTGAAGAATGTTACAAATATGATTTATCAAGCTGTGTTTTCTTCTAACTTTTCCTAGTCTTCTCATATCTCACTAATTCCCAAAAGAATTTGCCACCTTACTTCCTATATTAGAAAGCTTAGAGTATCTGGTATTACTCAGCCTCTCCTCCTGTGTTTTATAAACTCCTGCATCATGCCTGTTCTCCTTTATTGCACCCCTTGATTTTTCCCTAGGTTGCTGGGAAAAAAACCATGTTATTCTGCGTACAATTTGAAGATTGTCAGTAGAACTAGCTGTGTACCTCTTAACCTTCTAGTTACAACTGTTGTGGACAAACAATATTAACTCATGCAAACATCTGACAGGAGTTATTTTATCTGATGACCAGCATCATCACTGAAAGCTGTCTGTCATCTGGATAGACGAGGAGCAATTGCATAAGACTTCATGCACGTACTACAAAATATAAAAACTTTGCGATGGTGTATTTAACTCGTCAGCTGTGTGATGAGGAAAGCATTAGAAATGAACTAACAAATCAACTTCTGTTTTTGAAAGGAAACTAATTGAAGATGAGCGTGTTACTTTTTTTTACGTATTATGAATCTAATTGCTAATGTGACTGTCCACCTAAATTGACTGTGCACTTTGAAGAAAGTTGTAGATAGAGCGAATATTTTTATCTTTCCTTCATATAATTTATGCTTATTTCATTTTGCTGTGTATACGTGTAAACTGTCTCCTTCAACTTGATGCTATATGACATGCTAGGACTTCTGTAGAGTCATCCCGAAATGACTTTCAGAATAAAGTCATAATTATTACTACTGGTTAAAAATCAAGGAAACATACTACTAAACAAAATGAGTAGTTAGAAACCATCCAGGTTGATCTGTGGATTTCGTTAGTTAGATTGGAGCAATTCAAACATCATGCTTCTGCATCGCTCTCCTGGGGTTCTTCAGCTGTGTAATTGGACAACTTCAGTTCATAGAGTTGACCAGCATGAATGGTTTCTAACTACTGATATATTTTCAGTAAAATGTTTCCATAGTTCATGACATTTTTACGTCAGAGATCACACCTATCTGAGCTTTTTATTGGTAGTTTTTAATTGATGAAGCTAGTTATACTCCAAAAGTATTCTCAGTGTGATGGTCTGGCTAACTGGTCTAGGTATCGCACTTCCAGTCATATCCTCATGCACCGTACCATTTTCTGAGCATTTATGCAGAGCTGATAGCAGTTGCGAAATTGACTTGACGTGTTGTATTACTTTGTACAAGCATAAGTGGCAAGTGATTAGGTAAAAACAATCTTCCATTTATTCTGGGTGATGACTGAAGGTGATATGAAAATTCGGATTGCAGCGGGATTCCAACCAGCAACTACCGGGTTTTCGGCTTGATGCTCTACCAACTGAGCTACGAGGTCCGACTGCTCACCATATCTTTATTTCTCTTCAATTAACAAGGTAGATTCTAGCTCAACTACCATTTGAATTCGTGACGCGTTACTACTGCTTGATCGTATTCACACTAGCTGCAGTCTAAATGAATTGGAGAGGGGAGCGTCACACTGATTATCATTTTGACTATCTGAGATAACAGCCGGGGTTCGACAAAATAGTATTTATACTGGGCGACGATTGAAGGTGAAATGAAGATATGGTGAGCAGTCGGACCTCGTAGCTCAGTTGGTAGAGCATCAAGCCGAAAACCCGGTAGTTGCTGGTTGGAATCCCGCTGCAATCCGAATTTTCATATCACCTTCAGTCATCACCCAGAATAAATGGAAGATTGTTTTTACCTAATCACTTGCCACTTATGCTTGTACAAAGTAATACAACACGTCAAGTCAATTTCGCAACTGCTATCAGCTCTGCATAAATGCTCAGAAAATGGTACGGTGCATGAGGATATGACTGGAAGTGCGATACCTAGACCAGTTAGCCAGACCATCACACTGAGAATACTTTTGGAGTATAACTAGCTTCATCAATTAAAAACTACCAATAAAAAGCTCAGATAGGTGTGATCTCTGACGTAAAAATGTCATGAACTATGGAAACATTTTACTGAAAATATATCAGTAGTTAGAAACCATTCATGCTGGTCAACTCTATGAACTGAAGTTGTCCAATTACACAGCTGAAGAACCCCAGGAGAGCGATGCAGAAGCATGATGTTTGAATTGCTCCAATCTAACTAACGAAATCCACAGATCAACCTGGATGGTTTCTAACTACTCATTTTGTTTAGTAGTATGTTTCCTTGATTTTTAACCAGTAGTAATAATTATGACTTTATTCTGAAAGTCATTTCGAGAATACAAATTTGCGTAAAAACATTAGTATTGAGTCAAGTGATTTGTCGAAAATTGAGTAATTTCAAACAAGATTTCATTATTGATTGACATCGATCAGAAAACTGTTGAACAACCGTTTTTCTCGGCTTAGAACTACTTGAAAGTAAGTTCTCATGTAGGAGCTGCTGAACTCAGTCCAGGCTATCATGTCTTGTTAAAATAAGTCACCATTCAGTCAATAGATTCCTCTTGAATGCTCCGTATCTATCAGTTTCTGCCAGCGACCATAGATAAACTTCACTGGTTGATGTCTATCTTCATTCTTTACTTGAGTACTAACTACCTCCGAAGCAACAATTATTGAAAAATATTCAACTTAAATCTGCTTATTTGAGTTGTACATATTAGAGTAGTTGCTGTCTTTTTGGCGACATCAGTTGCATATCACACATATCACACAGTTCATGTAAACACTGCTTACAGTCGGGCACTTTTCAGACTATTTGACTGTGGTGTCAACATGAATTCCCTAGGAAACAGTATGACCAATATTACAAGCTAGATAAGCATAGTGATCGTCCAGTCTAAATATCAGTGTTATCTGGTTAGTGAAATCCGTAGAGTAAGGTGAATGAGTTTTGAGCTACTCAGGTTATATGTCAGAGATTACACTTTTCTATCTTAGCTGATTGGTTTTTAAAGAAAACTGTTTGATACGATAGTTGAGGAGTTAAAAAAAACCATTTATATATCTTGGGTGATGAATGAAGATGAGAATCTGGACCGCGATTGAATTCGAACCACCAGCCACCGGCTTACCGGCCCGGTGCTCTACCAACTGATCTGTGAGGTCCGACTGCTGACCAGAATTTTATTTCACTTCAATCACCAAGAGTTTTTCCCGACTACCATGTGAAAAGACGACTTACATATGTTGGGTGATGATTGAAGGTGAGATGAGAATTTGGACCACGGCAGGATTCGAACCACCGACCACTGGGAAACCGGTCCGGTTCTCTACCAAATGAGCTACTAAGCCCGACAGATGATCAGAATTTTATTCCACTTTTATTTAATTAATATATATTCGTTTTAAACTGCAAACCGAACATCTGTCTTTAGATTTTTCCTGTCAATGTGGATGTCCTAGTGGTGAGTATTTCAACGCAGTACGCAACTCAGTAGGATATCAAATCAGCGTAGTTGAAATGTGATAAGTTCTATTCAAATGACTCATAAAAATATGTTTATAATTTCTAGCTGGGAAGTGCAAAATATCTTTCAGTTCTCCGTACAGGTTTATATTTTTGTGTTGTTGCAATTCTACAGTCTGGTATAAGTAATCCTCACTTCACAGTACGATTTCCTCTTATGATGAGGTCCAGTCGTGTAAGCAACCATTGAATTCCAGCCTTTTATCCACTTCGACTATTCTAAGCTGAACATTTAGCTTGCCTTATTATGTTTAGCATACATCATCACATTAAAGTGATCATTCGACTTTCAAACTTGAACAATTCTTCATTTTGTTTAGAAGTTTGTGGAGATTGACTGATTTCCAGTAGGTAGGTATTCATCATCCGCTGACATTAATTAAAAAACCATTTAGAACTTAGAAGCGCTTGAAAGCTGTTTCTTCCTGGTATAGGACTCTTTAGAAGCGTACATCAATGATCTGACTGCTGGTCGAACTCAGGACCAACTAATATCAATCTGTGATGAGTATCACTTTAAGTTCTTCACTACTTTTGCTTTAATGTCATTAAAAATTTTCTGTAATCACTCTTTGTCTCTCTAACTGTAGTGTATTTTAAAACTGTTACCCTACTCCTTCCAGTGGTTAGATTATGAATCAGTGTATGCAGAACACTAACAGAGTTTTTCTCTAAATAACTTATCTGAGTAGGACCTATGACTATATGTTTCGCTAAATTTTTGTGATCCGTGAATCTCACTAGCCCCAACTGGCTGTTATTCACCTATATACTTCACCTCACAATCATTGAGTAGTATTTGGTAGATTAAGTTATTTACCCAAACTGACTCTACTGGATCGTTTAACCGACAAAGTTTGTGGGTTTAAATGCCACCCCCACACCAGAATTGTTAAGAATTCTGATATGCCTTCCTTTATACAGTAACACTACAGTGGAGTTCAAATTCCTTCATAGACATATTACAGTTACCACTAAATAATGCTGGATCCCGTTGTGATCGATAAAATAAACAACGTAATATGGGTTCTAAGTCAACTCACTTTAATTGTAGATTGATTTAAGCAATGACGACAAACTGAGACGTAATACTGTTCAATACTAAATCACCATTATTGACTTTTTTTTCTAAAAACATTTCAGGGTCGACATGGTTTAGGTTCAATTTATGTCTTTGCTTCTGGAAATGGTGGTGTCTTTGGTGATAGTTGTGGAGCAGATGGATTTGTCAGTTCACCAAATGTTATCGCTGTATCAGCTACTGATAATATCGGTCAAAAAACTGTATATTCTGAAGCATGTGCTGCAGTTCGAGTGTCTGTACCTGTTGGAGGATCACCTGATGAGTTGGAAACAAATATTCTTGTAAATATGAATATTTTTATTACATATTTTAAATTTTTGCATTACATTTTAGATTTGAATTAGATACGTCTGTAATACATAGGTAGTATTCATCACGGACTGACATCAGTTCGGGAACCACTGAAAACCTGAAAGCACTGGACAGACATCCCGTTCTAGAATGTGACACCCCAGCACTACACACCCATGGGCCAGACAGGTGTCAAACTCAGGTCCTTCAGGTTCCTCAGCAAATACGTTAACCACTCAATCACTGGTTCACAGTCTCCGACTTCTTACGATTCACGATACAAAGTGACTACCATCCAAGGTCTTCAGTTGGCATCCGCTTCCCTTCCATCTGGTTGACCCCATAGGTCATGGCTTCTCATTAGAATATCGTCATATCCATCTGGAAGCATGTTACTGATGAGCAACAAACAGATGATGAATGAGGATTTTAATTAAGAAGTTTTCAATGGTTCTCAAACTCATGTCAGTCTATGATGAATACTACCTCTAAATTAAAATCTCCATTCATCATCTGTTTGTTGCTCATCAGTAACATGCTTCCAGATGGATATGACGATATTCTAATGAGAAGCCATGACCTATGGGGTCAACCAGATGGAAGGGAAGCGGATGCCAACTGAAGACCTTGGATGGTAGTCACTTTGTATCGTGAATCGTAAGAAGTCGGAGACTGTGAACCAGTGATTGAGTGGTTAACGTATTTGCTGAGGAACCTGAAGGACCTGAGTTTGACACCTGTCTGGCCCATGGGTGTGTAGTGCTGGGGTGTCACATTCTAGAACGGGATGTCTGTCCAGTGCTTTCAGGTTTTCAGTGGTTCCCGAACTGATGTCAGTCCGTTATGAATCCCCGTTCATCTCAAAAATATATGTCTATATTATATTTGCTGGTTCTAGGATTTTCATCAGTTCCATAAATCTATACTGTAAGGCAATCTGATGATGGTCTAATACAATTTAAAGTATATTCCTAAACATTTTAATCAGTTTAAACGAACCTTAAGTTGTGTTTATAGAACAGTTAATTTAAGTTTCTCAGTTGTGCTTCTGTGCCTCCCCTCTGCTTGTTGATAGTGTAAAAAACTCGTAAAAGGCGGAAGTTTTTCAGTTCTATGTGATTGGAAGTAGCAAGAATATTCACAACAGCAACAACAACAACAACCAAATATTGTTGTTGTAGATATAAGAGAGCAAGGATGCAAATGAATGCTGTGGATGCTGAAACTCTCCACTCTTCATAGCTCTTTAAATTCTTGTGAACTTTCATTGATGTCAGTAGATCTCAAATAAGGATTATATGCTACTAATCTTAAGTTTTTCAAAAGAGTAAAACTGTACCACTGTGAAAGTTACTATCTAATAAGTAGAAACTACCTACCTCATTCATTCACTTAAATCTATTACTATAGGAATCTTCATTTATCTCCAAATTACTCAAGTGTGCTCTATGAGATCAATGCAGTCATAAACAAATCAATGATGATTAAAATGTGTGACTAAGCAATGAGTTAAAACACTTGTCAAGGGAACGAACTATTCCGACCATCTCAGGTTGGAATTCACCATGGACTGACATCGATTGGAGGAAAATTGGATATCTGGAAGAACTGGACAGTTGTTTCGTCCTAGTATGAGACACCTCAGTAGTGCGCACCCAACATCACATTCCATCATGAATCCAGCCCAGGACCTTCAAGTTCCTTAGCCAGTACGTTACCATTGAGCCACCGAGTCAATTAATAAGCCTCCACAAAAATATTCCACCCTCAAAATCAAGACCAGAACAGACTAGATTCAGGAAGAATAAACCATGTGCGAATGAAATTGCAACACTACGCTACGCATCATCATACAACAGAGCATAGAATGGCAGTTATCTCTCTACCTCAACTTTATCGACTTTGACAAGGTCCTCGACATCGCCGATAGCGCCGAGAAGTAATTTGACACCTGGTTCAACACTACGGTTTTACTACCACAAACTTTTGTCGAACTCATACAACAGTAGCAATATGCTATATAATGCTATATGTCAAGGGATTCACAATGGAAAGCTCAGTTATCCCTTTGGAGTGAAGACAGGTTGACAGATGAGACAAGGTTGCCATCTACTGTCACCGATCATCTTCCTTATTGTGGTCGACTGGATCATGCAACAAACAACTATGAAGGGCGAGAAGATGACCATATGCTGCTTGACCGATGAGATGAAAAGACCCCCAGAAGAAAATTTGGATTTCGTCGATGATGATGATGATTTATGTCTAATGTCCTATGTCGCACAAACTCGAAGATCTACAAGCGAAAACTAACAAGTTGGCAGAAGAGGCGAGGCAAGACAGTGAAGAAGGAACTTCCTTCAGGTGAAGGTAGAGAAGACAGTGGTGATGAAGATATCCAACCAACAACGAGAATAACAAAAGGTGCTAATCACCATCAATGAGAGAAATCTAGAGGAAGTTGTCTCTTTCATCAGCTACCAAGGGAGTATCGTGTCAATTACGGGCGGCGGCACACATGAAGCTGTCAAAGCCAGAATTAGAAAAGCAAGCAAGACAGGTCTTCATTAATCAGAACTACTGCACTGCTCTGCACTCAACATAAAGCGTGAACAACATCCAAATTTTCAGCAGAAATGTCAGTCAAGTCAGCCAATGCTTCTATGTCATAGTTGTGAGACTTAGCGCATCACGAAAAGCATTTCCAACAAACTGCAGATATACATTACATGAACAGCTGACACCTACGCTCACTCGATACTGAAGATCGATCAGGTGGTCAGAATAATAAGAATAGGCAACAAGGCACTCTGGCTGGATGGATGGCAACAAACCAACAAAACAAGAACCCTAACGCACAACAAATACACAGAATAAGAAAGTGGAGATGGGTTGGATTGGACACGCACTGAGAAGACGGTTTGGGGACATCAGCCGTCAGACCAGGTCATCGAGTGGAACGTGAATAGTAAACGACGAGTTCAACGTCGGAGGTGAGTGTGACATGAAGTAGATTGTGTGAGGAAGAAATAGAAGTTCTTGGGCAGTGGTGGAGTCTTGTTGAAAAGACTGCAGAGATGAGAGTGAAGTGATGACGTGTTACCGAATCCCTCCCTATGTTCCACTAGGAACCCAAGGAACAAATAATACCAATAATTTTGTATCCCTCTGCTATATGCTATGAAGTTTTCTGTGCTGTTGGGAAGTAAAACAGAACACGGATCAAGTTCAAAATCATTTCATAAAATTCTGAAGTCGTTCTTCACAGGTTAAGCCTACCTTCATCTCATATCATGACCAAGATATGATTATCAGCAATAGGTTCTACTCGAAAAGTTATTGGTAAATAATACTGTTTCACTTGACAACACATATAAAGATGAACTACAATGGAATTAAAGTCTGCTGCAGTGCCCAGATTCTATTCTCAGGCTGTGTGTAGATGATGAACAGGTAGCCAATGGTCCTAGAAAAGTTTTTCACATATTTACCAAAAAGTTCGGAAACTTCCCTTAACCCTAACCTTAACTGGTAGTGTGCTGTGGTGTTCAGGTTGACTTACAATAATCTCTAGATCATCGTGAGTTACTACTTTGAGCAAAGAATTACAAATTTCACAACTGATTCATTCTTCCCATTCCTTATGCACTTCAGTAGCTAACCCGCACTGATAGGTATCGGTCATTTTTCTAACCAGGTCAACGATCTGTTGACATCTACCTGAAGTGTGTATTCCTAATCGTTACTCCATAGTTCTTGCTAGATTTTTAAAAATCACTGTAGATTTCATGATGCTACGAAGTAGATTAGTGTTCAGGTGAAACAGGAGAGAGAACAAGACGATCCTTTTCAGTACTCTGTATTGTGCTAATCTTCAGAAGGAGAGTTGGGAGCTCATCTTAACCCAAACTCTTCTACTACGAAGTAACTCTTTGTTCCCCGTCAGTAGGTAACTGTTGATTTCGACACCTTTTATTTTCATCATCAAATTGTACTCAGGCACTTTGTCGACCTCCATACTACAGTCTGTGAAGACGAAATTTGCAGGCTTTCTGTTATGTACGGACGAACAACATTTTTCTCTTATTCTGTGGTTTATCAAATAAGAGATATTTCTGTCATAGTCATACAATGAACTGAGTAGCATGTTGTTTCTTTTCAGGTGAGTTCTGATGGATTTCTTGATTGCTTTTCCCAGAATTGAAATTACCGGACTAGTTAGGTTTCTTAGTCTTTGATCTGGTAGACACTGTCTAAAGTTCCCTTGTGGAAACATATGACTGTAGCATATTCTATCCATGTAGTAGCATCTCATGTTTGGTTAGTATTCAGTCGACTTAACAAGTAGATTGGAAGCTATTTGAGTAACCCTGAGTTTGTCTCACCTAGTCCTCCTGACTGTCACATATCTAAAGTACTTGAAGTTTCATATATATCGTTAAAGTCGAGTCCACATAGTATATTCTGTCTGTCGTAGGTGTCTCTACTGCTTAAATTGTCTATTGAACATTTATGAGAAAGGACCTCAGCATAATACTCAATAATCTCTTCTTGGTACTTATTCTTCTCAGTTAATCGATGCGTCTATCCCATAATTCAACGCGGAGACGCCATGATTCATTTAAATCCTGTGGTTCATATAAGATGACAGTCTCTTTGGAGATCCTCAGATTATGATGATCCATGCGTTTCAAATTGTAATGTGTGTTTTCTTCACCTGGAAATTACCGAGGTCAATAACGAGACTCCAACACATCTTCTTTCCTCTTAGTAAACCAGGGAAATTCCAATTTATTTATCGAGTATGGTGTTTTCGCGCCATGTAAACAACCTCAGGAGTGATATGTTTAATCATTCAGGCATCCAGTTGTTTCGGGAAATACTATACATCTTTAGTTGGAGCTTATAGATTAGGGATTCAATCTTGAGGACAGAATACCTAGTCAGTCGGTGTTATGCTCGCATACTGTATGTTACCTAGAACAATAAC